TATATGTTAAAATATTTATATTATGTCGATGATGTATATATTTTTTAATTATCATATATATTTTTTTATCTCGACCCCTCTTAATAAAAGTTTCTGATTCTACCCCTACTTACAATGAATTTTTGGTCATGTTGTGTTGGATTGGAAGAATAAAGAATGTAAATCTCCAAATAGGAAGATTTCATCTTAAAAATATTTGGAAGTGAAACAAAAGCATGTTCGCTATCGTAAATGATTCCAAAATAAATGTAACATGAAAAAACAAAGAGATCAAAAGAAAGGAAAGAAAACAAGAAAGAGTTATATAGCTCTGTTAGGATTTGAAATTTCCAATCTTTGAAGAGCATTTCCAGTCTTCCCACATGAATCTTCAACCTCAATTGCTCTCATTAATATCATAAACCTCAAATGTAATGCAAATATGGGGCCCATGTTGTACTTGGTTTGGCGAACATTAATCCACTTGACCCATTCAACAACGTCGTCAATAATACAATACGAAATTGACTAACTTAATATTGACTTGATGTTTTTAAGCAGCAAAATAAGGTACGTAGAGTTGGATCAAGATTGAAGTGCGCGTTGCTCCTTTTAGTTTAAACCAATTTCATGATTAATAAAAAATGGTATTTATTTTTTTATTATAAAACACTTCTAATTACCTTACTAAAATCAACAACAGTTAGTTAAATTATTAGTTTTGTCTAAAAATAAAATAAACTATCACTTTTAACTTTATTTGAATTAGTTTTTTTTTTTGAATTAGCATCACGTTCTTTCTCATAATTAATGAATTTAAATAAGGATAATATTAAAAAAGCATATTCAATGTCCTATCAATTGCCTTACATTAAATATCTCAAAATTTTTTTAGAAGACGCTCTATAATAAGGATCGAAAGAGTATATTCTTAAAACTGTTAAAAAATATATAACTTTTAATCTTAACATTCTCTACAATCAATAACTTTAATAAATTGTTGGCTAGGAATTTAAAGTTTAAACGACAATAAATAAATGAAGGATAATATAAAGTTAAAAAAACAATAATGATTGTAAACTTTATCTCATATTAATGACAATTTTTATTTTTCAAAATTTATCTTACAGTAAAAGCAGGAGGGAGTACATCGATGTATTGTGTCAGCAACCTTGAATCTCGCCCAATTTACGGGCATATTATATATTATATATACTAAAATACTATCAAAGTGAAAAAGATTAGTCGTTTTATAATTTAAACATAAGAACTTTAGGAGTTTTTCCAAAATTATAATCAAGCAGAACATTTTCTATCAGAATATGTATAATTATTTAGTCTTTCTTTTTTGTAAATAATAAATGGGTTTACTATAGATCTACAGTTGCCTAAACAATAACTATTAATTACTATAAATGTTTGCCATGCCATTTTTTTATATATACATAGAAATTTACTGAGTTGAGTCTTGAAAAATAATCATGGTCAAAAACATGCTTTTGAATTTAAAAAAAAAAATACTTATCAATCACTATTAATAAAGTTCTTACATCCACAGCTAGAGGGAAAAGAATGTGGCTTTGGATTTGTTGGCGGGCAGAAAGGGCAGCTGAGAATATAAATGGACATAATTGTTGGTCGTTGGAACCGGTCGTTCAGTGTCCATTTTCCACTTTTCCAATATAAAAGATTTTTTTAAAGAAAATAATAATAAATTTTTTTTAAATTGTCTAAATAATATTTTAATTTTTTAAAATATCATAATTTTCTTGAAGTCTCTAAAGACTTTTATGTCGTTAAGAAATTAATATAAATGACCTAATTATTTTTAATTTAAATTTGTGAATTGCTATTAAATTCTTGCAATTTAAAAAAAAATTGTGAATCTTAAAATAAAACTTATAAATGGCAATTAAAATTTGTAACACTTAAAGAATATTAAGATTTTAAAAGTGAACTTGTGAATTATTGTTGAATTCTTGCGATTTAAAAAAAAGTTATGAATTTTAAAAAAAAAACTTATGAATAGAAATTGATATTTAAATTAAGGGTAATTTGATCATTTACATTAATTCTTTAATGACAGAAAAGTCTTAAAGGATTTCAAAAAAATTATGATATTTTGATGAATTAAAGGGTTATTTATATAATTTAAAGAGATTTTATTATCATTTTTTTATTTTTTTCCAGAAATTCTTGGCTACACTTAGAACCCATTATATTACTCTACCCATTTTTTTTTTGGACAAATACTCTACCCATTTAAAATGCAACATCATTAAAAAAAAAATTATAATCTTGGTCCCAATGTTTGGCTGCAATGATTAATCAATTTTTTTATATGATAAAGTTGGTTTAGAAGCACCGGAGAACCAAACGATTTTAATTTTTAATTCAATATTAAGAAATTATTTATTTTTAAAAATTAAAATTTTGGGCATCTTAACGTTTTAAAAATATTTTTTTTAAAATTATGTTTTTATTAAAATATGCATTGAGGTAATAAATTTTGAAATAAATAAGCATAGGGTAATCAATTTTGAAGTTTAAATGTTGTTTTTAGTTTTTTTTTTGGCATAAATAGTATGGAGTAGAAATTATCTCCATGCTAAGGGCAAAATTAAAATTTTTCTAACTAAATTGCCACACGCCACTCACACAAACTTTAATTAGTACAGTTTTAATTTTTAATATGCATATATACAATAGAATTTACAATAAAATATTGTAGTCAAGCTTTTAAAATTTTCAAAATAAAATAGAATGTGTTGTTATTTAAATTTTATGTACCGTGGCTAACACAACAAAAAATATTTTTAAAATAATAAAACTAATCATATTTTTATTTAAATATGTGCGAAGGTAATAATTTCTGGAATAAAATAAACATGGAGGCAATAAATTTTAGAATCGCATATTTAAATTCATAATATTGACAGAAGTAATCAATTTTAGAATTAAAAAAATATGCTATTTTAGTTTCTAATATGGACAAATTTAACAAATTATATAAAATAGAATAGGCTACTATTTAGATTCTGTGATATCATTTTAGCAATATTTTAAAACTTATATACTTTTCAAATTTTAATTTACTATATATTTTTAATTTATATGGATGTAAACAATTTATTAACTGGAATAAATTTTTGTATATTTGATTTAACAAGATAACAAATTTTAATATAAAACAAGTTATTATTTATATTATTAATTTAATATAAATAAATTGTTGTTCATTTTGTTATTTTTTATCTTCTAATGATCATAAAAAAAACATGTGAATGAGAAATAAAAATATTTATTTCTGATTTTTATTTTTTATTTATTTTCAATTACTTGTATAATTTATTATCAAATTAATATTTATTAAATATTTAACTTTTATTATTATTTTTTTGAATATTTTGCTTTAAGTATAATGAAGGGTAGGCGGGAGGATTTTCAAAAGTAAGATCTTTCAAAAAAAAAAAAAATAGAGAAGTGAGTTTAAAAGTTTTTAATTAATAGCATGTTCTCTCTATTAAAATATTACCCTAATTCTTTATTTTTTGTATTAAATTTAATTCACTAAAATCTCTCATTTTTCTAAATAAAAGATTCAAAGTTTCCATACATAGCAGGAGATCTAAGAATTAGTTAAAATAAACGAATAATTATAATGATACAAACAATTAAAAGTTTAAAATTCATAATGAGTTGGTCTCAATAAGCCTCACCGACCCAATTATATATAACATATTGGATTGTTCCCTCATATTTATAGGAAAGAAAAAACTATTTGCTTTAATCATATTTATAAGATATTTCAATAATTATTATGTTCATTCCTACATTTTTACCCTTACTAAATGTTGAAAATCTTATTAAATATTAGAATATTTTATTTTAAAAATATGCATATTTAATAGAGATAGAGTTAAAAATGCATTGAAGTTTTAGACAGAATTATTGAGATTTAAATATTTTTATTCTAATAAAAATATTAAAAATAACTTATAAATAAAATCACAAAGATGATATTATTCACTATCTTGCACTGTTTTCTTAATTTTATATTGAAATGCAAGTTTTTTGTTAATAATAAATAAATATTTTTAACTCCCTACACCACTGCAGTTTTTGGTTCGTTGCCTTGAACTGTAATTACGTTTCTTGATTAGTTATGTTTTACTATGCATCAGAATTTAGAAGTTTATCAATTATTGAATTATATTTTTTTTGGGTGAACTTATTGAATAGAATTTATTTAAAGGACAAAAAAATAAAAAAATAATATTAGCTAGTAGGATAAATTAGCCAACTAACAAAAAAAATAAAAAAATTGTCTAAAAGATATAGACCAAAGTTTTAAAAATTTACAAGTATAACGATTCACATTAATATATAATACATTTATTATTGATATACAAAAAGTTTGTTATTAAAAATTTAAAAATTTATAAAAAATTTACCATTAATATACAATGATATATTATTGACAAATATAATAAATTAAATATAATATAAAATATAATAAATGTTAGAATGTTTACTTTAGTTTTATAATATAAGTGATATCTGCAGCCTCGTTAGCAAAAGGTCTTTTTTTAACCCAAAAAAATGTCATCGTTTTTTCAAAAAAAATTATATACTTGTTAATAAAAAACATTGAAAAGATTAATATTCCTGTTGTTAAAAAATATAAAATATTTTTAATTAAATTTTACTCAAATAAAATAGATACTTATCTTTAAATTAACTTTATTTTTTTATATTTATTTCTATTTAATAAAGTATATCATCATAAAATAAATATAAAATAATTTATTTAATAAAAATATTTAAAAAAAAACAATGATTTCATTTTAAAAAATTAAAAATATTTTATATTTTTTAATATACAACCTCTCAAAAAATGCACACACATTTTTTACGAGAAGGAACAACAATTACTACATCTTTGGCTATCCAACACTCCCTCACTATCATTGTGATAACTCCGGTGATGTTTCTTCCTTAAGGTACCAAGGCATTTCCCAAAAAACAAAAACATTGAAATTGTTAATAATTTATAAAGCATAAAATTAGGGGGGGAAAAAGGTGAAGGGGGTGGATTTTAATTTATTAGAAAACAGGGTCAAACTCAAAAGAAATCAAGTACAGAAAGATCAAGTCGAAACTCCAAAACTACATAACCTAAAAGGAATTATCACCTCAACCTTTGTGCCGATATAGATTTTCTTCTAAAAAAGATCTCAGCTGCCCAACTTTTTCCTATTTCGGTCTGAAACTTTCCTGAAAGCCATTTTAAACAACCAAAGCCTTTTTTTGGCATCAATTCAATAAAGGGATCATCTTTCTATACCAAACAATCATAATGTTTCAGAGACTCAAGTTAAAATATGGTCGAATTGCATCTTTTGTCATGCTAATAATTTCACACTTGGTCTGACATTAAATTACCCTAGAGAAAAATATAACTTTTAATCCCCAATCTTTTCCTCAGTTATCAATTCAATCTTTTAACTTTAACTCATAATAATTCAATTCCCTATTATTTCTTAACTCAATAAATTATTGAGACTGAGTTATCATTCAAGGACTAAATTGAAAATAAAAAAAAAAGCTTAGAGACTAAAAGTTATGTTATTCCTTTATCGTAATTGCAACTAAAATGACTAAATTGTTCTCTTAGAGTACAACCAAGAGACTAAATGTTATCAGCTAGTTGTCTAGTGATAGTGCTACCCCCCTCACTTGAAAAATGTCCTCAATTCAAACCCTGCGTTGACATGTTTGTGTGCGTGCATGGGAATGTGTCTCTCCCTTTTTCATGGGCAAGGGCTGGGTTAAGGCTAATTTTAAAAAAAAAACCTGAGACTAAATGTGGAATTAAGCCATGACATAAATTAGCACTTGTTTTGTAAGAGAGTGTACCTGCTGTTGAAATGAAAAATTCATCCAGCACCTTCCCATGTTCTGCCACACAATACAACCAAGGCAAAGAAACTTAACATTTCGAAGCATATGAGATAAAGCATATCATAAGGGTAACATTGAACTTACATAACTTTTTTTTTTTTGGGAGAAAAACGAACAAAGAAATTTTATTAGGAAACAGCATAATTGTTTACAATTCCCAGTAACAAAATTCTTTTCCTAAGCTTATTTATCTACAACTCACCAATTTCATATTCCAAAGCTTGCAGAATCATTTCAACCTGATCAAAATTCAGAGGAAAGTGAAGCTCAGTTAGAATGTAAGCACAAGCATATGCATGCCATCTTACAGAAACAAAAGAACAGCCCGATGCACGAAGCTCCCACTATGTGCAAGGTTTGGGAAGGGTCGGATACACTTTGGGGTCAACTATACACAGCCTTCCCTACATTTTCGTCAATAAGATGGCAACAATTTAATTTAACAACCAAAATTTTAACAGCCAAACAAGAATTCTCTATGTGCTCGGTTGCTCACTACACGGATTTCTATTTGCTATCATCATGTTTCTAGATGTTATGAAGCAATAATTTCTCTTACTTGCTCAAAATTTCAATTCAGGTTTAGGCATTAATTAGGCTCTAAGAAAAAACTTAACTCCAATTAGAGAAGTGAAGTTGTGAGATTCCAGCACTTTTAAACCAGCGTAAACGAGCAGTACTTCTTGCTAATCATTTTCTCAAATGTAGTAAAATCATCATCCAAACAAATCCCCAGCTTAAAGTTCCAGTCACATCCAATAACTTCACCATCATCACTAATCACCACATTTGCATATTGTTTACAGACAGAGTAGCACCCTGTATGAAGGGAAGGTAGAGGTGTGAAGGTAATATTTTTTGCAATACCGCTTATGATTTTTTGTTTTTGTTTTTGTTTTTTTTTTCGCTCTCTTTCATTTGTATTTCTTTTTAATTCTACATACCAAACAAGAACATTTTCCATTAAAACATTTCCAAAACCAAAAGAGCGACTCAATTATTGATTCCTCTTGAAACCCCAAAGTGCCTTTCAGCACAGTAAAAAGATTATAAGTATTTTTCTTTGCAAGAGATAGAATTTACATTAATCAGTTAGAAATTAGAATCTATATTTGGGAAGCGTAGGCAATAGATGCTAATGTAACAAAAACTACAAACCAGCATAAATCTCTATTTTCATATGTATAATTGGTAACAGTAGCATAAGAGGATCAAGAAGAACAATTGGGCTTCAAAATTGTATTTTTGACTCAGATCATATTCATTACAAGCAAAAGAGGATCAAGAACGAATGATTACAAGAGGAATATTAAAGAACAGAACATTAAGTATGGTCACTCTGATTTGGGTCTGAGAGCTACTATGCCACAGCCCATAGGCCATACTATTGACTACTGCATCACATCAATTTATATAATTAAACGAAGGATGTAACATCTTTGTTTGAGTCACTGTCCTTAAATTTTAGAGTTTGTGGTACGCTGATAGCTTCACATTATTTAATCAACTAAACCTTTTAATTGTCCTTCGTTCATCAATTAAACTTAATATTTCTGCAAATCTTCCTGCTACTCTCAACGAGACAGACAAATAAAATTCATATAAAAGGTCGCATACGTACTTTGTCAAAATCTTTAACAAGATTGGCCTCTAAAGAGGAATTGTGTTCATACTCTGCCCAAAGTTCTTTAATCTCTTCAGCTGCAAAGTACAAGTTGGGTCCTCAGAATAAAATAGAACCCAAAATTGGAAACTCAAAATGAAAATGTTCTCGGAAAAATGACATGAAAATACCTCTCATTCCTCCACCAAGAATTTCACACATTTCATTCAAAGCTGCCTGCTCCCTTCTGCTCTTTTCTTCCTTGGGCACACCATCAGATGGTGTTATATCTCCAACAATAGCTATTAAACGCAAAATAAAACCCAAGACTTTTATACCATTTATGTTCATGTACACAAGATGCATAAGCCCATTGCTGTTCAAAAGTACACAAAGAGGGGTGGGGGGAGGAGCCCCCATACAAGTCAATAGAAATTAACGGCAAAAGTCACATGATCCAACACTAGTTTGTGGAATTTTGTCAAACGTTTGAATATGGTAGAAATCTTTGTGGGTGTGGTATTTATTGAGGAGAAAATAGTAAAAAATTGTTTGAGACAGTTTAAATGTGTATAGAGAAAGCCATGGGAAACCCCAATAAGGAGTGGGGAACAGATAGTCTTGGGCCCTGTAAAGAAGAGTAGAGGACGACAAAAAAAAAAACCTATAAAGGTTGTTAAACGAGACTTCTTGGTTAACAATATTTTTAAATACTTAGTTACTAATAGAGTACAATGGTGTTGTGTGATCTATGTAGTCAACCCCACCTAGGGGAATGAGGCTTGTTACTGTTGCTGTTGTTTGAATAATTTTTCTAGTGAGAATCAAGAGTTTAATACAATTATTTTTTGCTATCTTTATCTTTATATTCCAATAGGATGTTTTAGGCAGTTCAATTATTGAGCAAGGAAAGTGAACATATAAACAATAATTAGTTAATTACCAAGTCAAACTCAATATAATATGCAATCTATCCATCTTGTTCAATTAAGTTGGAGAACAGAATCACAAAAGATCAACACACCCTTCACAAGTACAACATGTTGTTAAAGCCATCTGTTGCAGTGTGGAAGGCAATCACATTAGAGGAAATATATTTAAAAACTTCATGTGTACCAAGCAGAAAGAATCATCTGATATACAACTTGAAAATTAAAAAACAGTTAAGTTATTCTACAGTTAAAAAAATCAAGTTACTATCCAGTTAAGAATTACCTTCAGCAATATCATGCACTAGTGCTAGTTTAATACATCTGCACAACAGAAACAGAGGATAACATCAGAAAATCAAGGAAATTTATCAGAAACAAAAACCAGGAAATATGATTGACAGAATGAAAGGCAAGTGAACACGGAAGACAATTATTTCTATACAGAAGACCCTTTGACGATAGGCAATTGAAAGTGAAAAACAGTGATGCTGAATATATAATTGCTTGCCCTCAGGACGGAAGAAAAATGAAAAAAGAAAAAGAAAAAAGGATATATAACCACTTGCCTATACGCTTTCCGTTATTTAGGCTAGAAAGTAGGCTACATTACTACATAGCTTACACCATCTATATTGGTTAAAATAAGGGATCTCGGGGACAGAAAAATTTCACTAACAATGATATCCACAATTATCCAGATAGAACTAAAGCAATAAAATAAAATAAAAAGCAGTTAGAAGAATGACTAGCTTGAGTAAGTATTTCAAAAGCCAATGGAATAGCTGTTAATTAAATGGCCCATGCTTAATTCAAAGGCCTCTAAGAGAAAACTAGATAGCTAGATTAATAAACCAAGCCAAACAGGATATCTGATTTGAATGGGTAAAAAAAGGTAATGATGAAAAATGAAAGGCCACAGCTTTATAACCAAATATACCCAAACAAAATATTTTTCACTTAAGGCAGAGATGTCAAATGATTTTTCCCCCAGTTATTTAGCATTATTTAGCTCGCATTGTCCTAACAATCAGATATCCTCGTCTGACCAAAGACAAACCAATAGTAGGATATATGAAATTTCACTATAACCAGGGTGCCCAAAACGAGATCATGTTCTTGATTCAAAATCCACAAAGACACAGCAAAATTCACTTAGACTAGGGGACAAATAATCTTTTTTTAAAAAAAAAAAAAACACACACACACACACACACAAATGGATCTTATCATAGAACAAAGCAAGGGACTGAGGTTTAAAAAGGAGGAAGAAATATACTCAAACAACAAGAAAAAAGTCAAACCTTTCTCTGTTCAATCCAGGCAGGTCAGCAGCAATCAAAGCCATTATAGCCATGCGATACATGTGGTCAGCAATTGATTCAGCACCCCTTATGCCATGATTGACCCATCCTTTCCTTTTTGTGGTCTACAAGGTACGCATACATGGCAAAGAGAGATTGCATTAATTATTTCATTTTACATAATTGGAATTGTAATGGGTATGGATATTTTGGCAACCCATGGTATTTGTCCAAAAAAGCATCTGATATCAAATGGTCTTAAATGCATCCCAATTATACGCCTCCATATTTGCGTCAAATTAGCAGCTGATAGTTGCAAAAAAACCTAGTTTCCAACTAGGCACATCACATTGATAGAAGAACAAGAGAAAACTCTTCTGATAATAAATTAAGCCCAATATGCGCCAATCACTACTCAATCTTAGTCATATACAAAGCTGGGAATGCTAATGGAGGCCTAAACCCGTGTCTATAATACAAATAAGTTCTAACTATGCTTCTCCCATCCACCTTGGAATTAAGAGACTGATACTAGAGTGAAATGAGTCTTGGTAACTTCAGATTCATATCCATAATTTAAAATTATCAAGATTTTCTGAACTAGAGCAGCTACCTACACTTTTTATAGTTCATATTGATATTGATTTTCCCCCAAAGAACGCAAGCTTTCTTTAACATGATATATTTCAGCGCACACAACATGCTTTTCCTTTTTCTGGCTGAGTTTAGGCAGAAAGTTAAATTGACCAACAGAGGTAGGAATCCATCTATCATGCAATATCTAAAGCCCAAGGTTCCCATCACACCCTCAGAAACCACTAGAGTCTTGCATTTGACGTCCTAGTAGACTAAATGTCACGAGCAAAACTTTAATTACAAGCAACAACAACATTTGAGAGTAAACTACAATTTGGCAGCCTAAACGTTATTTGCATTTAATATTAGCATTGAAATAACTAGTGAAGTAAGAGTTGGTCTTTGAAATTAATAAACTCATTACTCATTAATTCTTTCGTTAATTGATCCAAGGATGTTAGAAGACCTAACATAAATTATTAGTTTTGGAGAATAGCTTGCACACTCAATATTATTCTATAACTAGAGCTAAGTATACCTAACAAGTGAAAGACCAAATTGTTGGTTTACTCTAGATTAGAAAACAATTTGAGGATCATTCTCCACTTAAAAGCAGAAAATCTAATCTCAGCAATATAACTAACAAAAATCACGTGGTAGACAACACAGGAAACTGTACTCAAATATATACTTGGCAGGTCAGAATCTTATCGATATTATAAAAGGGAAATCAAACAACATACTCCCAGCTCTCTTCGTCCAAATTTAAATTTGGGGAGTCTACATTTTACTGCCATGAATTGATGTCTGATCACAGAATGGAGGCATAAACTTTAACATTTAAAAACATCAAATCCCAGTTAGCTGAGATCAAAACTTAAAACAAGAGGCCATGTGATCCCCTGCAATCAATTTAAACGTTTTCACTTTATGCCATGTGTCATTTTTATAATCAAGCTTGCATTCAAGGATGAAATGCAGTATCCTTCAACTTAGAAGCAAACATGCACGAACCTTAAGCCGTCTGCACAATGTAAGAAAATCAATCAAAGAGGAGGAGGAGTTGGGGATCCCGACTGAGGGTGGAGACTCTGTGAAGCCAACCGATCTTTGGGCTGGCGACCCATGATCCGAACCGGATGTCTGCGACCGAACCGTGACGAGTCTTAGGTTCCTAGTTTCGCCGGAGAGAATAGATTTCGTCGATATGAAGCGATTGAAGAAGGCAAGCGAGGAGCGAGATGAGAGCGAGTGATGATGCAAAGGCGAGGCGCAACGAACAGAGGAATTGGTCATCATATTTGGCAAGAATTCCAAAGATTTCTTGGAAATATTGTTGGTGAGAAAACTGAAGCAATGACTGGAAACTACAAACTTTAGATTTTTAGGTACAGCGTGAGGTGGTTTGATAAGCCTCGGGCTTCCGGCAATTTTAGACACAAATTTTAATGTAGCCGCTGTCACTGTAAGGTGATCCCAGAAGGCTAGGAACCAAATCTGAAACTTCTCTTCTAGCCCTGGTTGACTAGAATCTCCCAAGTCGCTTGCTCCTTTGCAATCTTATTCTTACTTTGATTCACGAGAATTTAGCAAAATTGGTTCACGAGAATCTCTTGGTAGCTGAAGTCCACAGTTTAAGCAACTGGGAGCTCTTCTTTTTTTTTTTTTTTTTTTTTTTGATGAGTAAACTCGTCATCTTCTGTATTTGAAGTTGTTAATTAATGCTAAATTTTGTAAGACCTTTCTGTATTCACATTCTGTGTAAAAATCTGAGTGATTTTTTATTTAATTAACAAGTGTTTTTAAAAACATGAGAAAATTACGTCTAAGTATTAAAGTACATGTGTTTTAAAATTTTTTACTGAAAAAATATAAAATTTATAATAATTTTAAATATTTAATTAAGTTAATATCAATTTTTTAAATTATTATCATTTTTACAAAATTTTGGTTTTAAGTATGTTCTCTAAAAGTAAATAATGATTTTTCTTAAATTTTATGGTAAGTCCATGATAATTTCAATTTTCAAAGATCATAATAGCATTTCTATGATCCATGCAGCCAACCATATATTAAATCCCAAGTTTATATATTAAACCCTCAGATTTTATATAAGCTCACTTCTCAATTTTTTTATAAATCGATGTCATTAAAATCTCCCATCTCCTCCATTTTTTTCAAAATAAGCATAACATAAAAACTAATTAAGTTAAATATTGAGTAAATATTAATTTGATAATTTTATCATGACTAAAAAATACTTCCTCCATTCAATAATATAAGATATTTTTAATTGAATCTTACTCCTCAATAAAGTAGTTACTTTCTTTTCAACTAACCTTATTTTTTTATATTTACCCTTATTAAACACCGTATAATAAATATAAAGTCATTATCAATAGGGACACTTTAAAAAAAATAATGGTTATACTTCAAAAGACTAAAAATGTCTTACATATTTGAACATCCAACTATTAAAAAAATACCTTATATTTTTAAACGGACGGAGTATAAAATAGAATTGTACAAGTAGTAAAAAATAAATAATTATGATAATGAAAAATAAATATATTTTTTCTCCAAGTATAAATAATTTTATAATTTAATTATAAAGAACATGGGTTAAATGGTAAAATTTCTCATGAATTATAAGTTCATGAATATTTGAGATCTAAACTTATTTTTGATGTAATATTCACCGTTAATATTTTAAAATAATGCAATATTGCTCCTATGATCAATAAATATTAACTTTGGTATTTAGTTAACAAAAAATTACAAAAAAAGAACTAAGAAAATTTTTTTAGTCTTTTTCTGTAAATTTTTTGAGTCATTATCTATAATTTTTGAGTTTTTATATCATTTTTTATTATTTTTAAGTCAATTAAAAATTAGAGTTAATTTTATTAACAAGTCAATTAACAATTAGAGTTAATTTTCATTAACAATAAGGATGACATCTCTCCATTTTTAAAGTTTAAGGAGAATATTAGAATAAAAAGAAGTTCAGAATTCCAAATCCAAACACTTTTTAACGTATGATTTAAGGGTAAAATTACCCTTTAATTCTTTTTCATTTATCGGCAGCACATAAGGTTTTTTTTTTATCAATTACATTACAGAAATTTAAAATAATTTTTTTTAAAAAATATAAGTGACAATTTATTTTATTTTTGAATTTGAGATCTCAATTATATTCAATATAAATAATTGTTTGTTTTAATCTATAAAGTAGGTTTGGTTTTATATTTTGTAAACAACTTATTGCTTTAGAATGTTTTTTTCACTCCTTGCATATTAATAAGATAAATAATAACTTATTCTATTTTTATACAAATTATATTTGAATATCTTAAATAAATTGTAATCTCCACATAAATTATTCTAAAATATTTTTCATCCGATGTACCTTATTTATTTACAAAAAATTTAATGCGTGTTTTTAAATTTAAAATTGATTACCTCATATAATTTGCATACTTACGTGTTTTTATTAAAAAGGCTAGAATATAAATTTAAAACTTGATAAATTAAAATAGGGATAGTGTCACTTAAGTCCTAAAGGATAATTTTATCCCATTAAAATCCAAACAAATTTTAAAACACAAAAAAAAAAATCTCTTGAGTCTTTGATTGATCTTTTAACAAAATTTTAAACTTATAAATAGGTATCCTACTTTCAAAAATTTGCAACTACTTTTACATTGATTTGCAACTCAGAACACAATTTTTTTTTATAAAAACACTATTTTAATTAATGAATTTTATAAGATTATTTATTCAACTTCAGGAAATTGCAGCTTACTCTCTTGGACTTGCAACTTCATCTACTTTGATTTGCAACTCTATATCCTCATTTTATTTGTGAACACAATTTCAATATTTATTGTTGTCATGAGAATTTAATTGTTCAATTTTAAGAATTTGTAATTATTCTGTCTAATTTATAAATTTCAATTTATTATTGTTAGTCTCGTGCATGTTAACTGCAAATAAATTTCATCCTAAAATTTATTATCTTGTAAATGTTTAAAATAAACACAATTAATTGTTGTATTTTAAAATTTTTCATTGTGAGTAAATTAAAATCATGGACACCCAGTGTATTTAAAAATTTATGTAAATTAAATTTGTTCTTTAAGTTAATTTTTTATGAAATGAAGTTATTTTAAACATGATCATTTTTATACATCTTTTTACTTTTATGTGTAGTAAAAATATAAATAACTTTTTTTATTTTGACATAAATTATTTTAAATAATATTGTTGTCCAAAAAAAATAGTGTGCTTTATTTTATAATTTTTATCCTATTCATATTAAAAATAAGGTAAAAGATAAAATTAGATCCTAAATTATAAGTCTAGGAACTTCTCAAAGATTTGGACCTTAAATTTATTTTTTTCGTGCAATATTTTTTTAAAATTTTAAAAATGATGTAATATAGACTTTACAGTTAATAAAGTTGACTTTAACCATTAATTGATCATAAAATAAAAAAAATATAAAATTTTTAAAAAAAGACAATAAACTATTTTGGTCATTTTTATGAAATTTTTGTGCTTTTTTGTAATTTTTAAGGTTCTTTTATTATTTTTTAGTTAACTAACAGTTAAAATTAACTTTTCTTAATAGTAAAGATCAAATTGCATCATTTTTAAAAGTTGAATGGAACATTATACCAAAGTAAGTTTAAAATTCTACACACTATTGACCTATATTTTAGAGATTAAATTGCCCTTTCACCTTTAAAAATATAAATAATAATTTATTTTATTCTAGAATCTTTTGTGCCATTCAAATTAAAATATAATTAAAATTTAAATAACAATATATCAAGCACAAATATGCAAATTATTTGTGGGAGCCAAATTTTTCATTTAGTTAATTGTTGGGGTAAGTCTATTTTAAATTTTTATCCCGTGTATATTAATAAGTTAAATAATATATTTTATTTTATAATTTATTACCTCATATGCTTTATGTATTAGTAAATATTTTAATAATAATTTTTTGTTTTTAATTTTTATACTTTTGTGCCTATTAAAAATATAAAAAATTTACTTCTTTTATACAAATATAAGAAATTTATTGCCTTGTACATATTAAAAAGGTGCTTTTGTACAAATAATCCATATTATAAGAACAAGTAAAAAAAATAGCATATCCTTCCTTAAATTTTAAAAACAGCATTTTTAATATTTAGATTATAATTAATTTACAAAACTGTCCTTTTTAATATATGCTTTTTTCAAATACCAAGAGATTCAAAACGCAAGAAATCTCTAGAATGAGAGAGACAAATGCAAGAGAGAAAAAAATTCAACGCTAGAGAGACAAACGCGAGATAGCAGAGCAGTGTGAGTGAGCCATAGTGTAACATCCTAAAAAATCAACCTCCAACAATTAAGTAATTAAACGTCATTAAGAGGATGTACGTGGTGTGTGATCAGAGGAGACTAATAAGTGTTTAGTTGGAATCTCAGGAACAATTTGGGTCCAAAGTGAAATTAGGTCATTTGGGGATCAAAAAGTATAGAAAAACAAGCAAAAAAGCCATCGTGCCACATATCATGACACGTGCGTGGTGCGCTGCGGTGCACAAGGCCAAAAGGCAAGAGACTATTTTCTTTGTACCACATGCTGCAGCACGTAGGGATAGGCACTGCGGCGCACGATATGAATTCTGCAAAAATAAGTCGTTCTTGCTCTACTAAGGCATGATCTAGGGGAGGATTTGAGAAGGTTTGAAGCTTCAAATCATCTAAGGTAAGTGTTGACCTCTAGAATTTCATATTATTTCATCACATTTTTCTTAGATTCTAATCCATTTTGGATCAATTGTATTGTTTTTATTGCCCAAATTAAAAAAATGTGCATTCTATTTTAGGTTTGTATTCTTAGCTTTAATTTGATATTTTTGGTCTAATTTCATGTTATTTTGGTTGAAGTTTTATTAGAAGCATTTCTGGAGCTTTATGGATGTTTTTGGAAGGTTTTTAGATGAAGAAATCAAGCATAAAATGAATAATTTTCATTAGCTACAAAAATAGTGCAAAACTATTAAAGTCATCCCAAAATCGTGACTTTCATTTGCAACTTTTGCCGCTGTTAGAAAAATACTGCATTTTATTTATCAGAAATCCGTTGGCTAGGGCATATATATGCTAAGATCTCAACCTATAACGTATTCACAAACTTTTAGACACATTTGAAGCTTGGGTGTTCTAGGGTTTGGGCATTGAAAGTGCTTGAAGCAAGGGAATAGAGTTTTGAAGACATTTAGAGTTCTTTTTCTTTGGTTTTTCTATGCCTCTTCCCTTTCCTATCTTGTATTCTAAAATAAGTCTACTTATTTTGTATATTTATAGCTTGTGGATGATTATGAGTAGCTAAACTCTTTGTTCTAGAATTATTTGGAACCCTTGTATGGATTAACACTATGTTTCTCCTCTCTTTTTGTGATTAATGATATATATGTATTTATTTTACTCTTTCCTTAATGCTTTTAAGTGATTGGCCACCATTTAGATATTAAGTTCATTTAATTGATGCTTGAGAGGGCTAGGTTGAGTGTAGAATTTGAGGAAAATAATGCAAGAA